CTGGCTGGCATGTGGTGCTGGGGGATCGAACCGCGGTCCCTGTGCTTTGCCAAGCTTGTTTCAAGTAGGTGCTTTAGACCACTGAGCCATCTCGCCAGCCCCAATAAGTATACTCTTAAAACAATTATTAAATATTATCACTTAAATATTAGGGAAAAAAATCAACAGATAACATGTTAGAATACTAAACCCAGCTGGGCATAGTGGAGCACCCCTCTAATCTCAGCACTCAGGAGGCTGAGGCAGGAGTATCAATCACTGTGAGTTTGAGACCACTCTGGGCTACAAAGTGACCTCAAGGCCAGCCTGAACTGCATAGGATACCTTGTCTCAAAAAGACAAAAAAGACCAAAACAAAACAAAAAATTTAAATCCCTCTTTACTCATAAAAAACTTACAAGATTTTGAACAGTATTTTGCTACTTTCACACTAGAAGGCTTAAAAAATTACCAGGAAAACAAAACCAAACCTTTCTGACACAGCCAAAACTCTATGATAAAGCTGTACACATCACTCAATTTACAGAATATGACACAATTTCAAAACAGCTTAGCAAAAGAAGAGGACATGTCCAAGAGGAAAATGCAGGTCAGCAACTCCCTCTGTCCCATTGTGGGTTAAAGACTAATGATAAAGATGAGCTACAAACCCTAAACACCATTTTTTTCAGCTTTTCTTAAAAGAATCATTCAGCCATGAGAAGTCAGGATCTAAGAGAGTGCTCAGAGAACAAGCTCACAGAGTGACAATTATGTGTCTTTCTTCCACTTCTGGCCCTACAAATCAATGGACCCTCAGCCTGAACATCCCATGCAGTAAAAACACCCCCATGGGTACTAGTGATCATGAGAGCCTGCTGTAACCTCCATTATCACCATTTGCAAGTTTAACTTACAAGATGGAAATCAGGCTCAAGGTATGTAAGTAGCTCAAAGCTGCACCATTATCATGAACAAGAGTACTAGTTTATTCTAGGTACACCTCTTTCCAATGTACACACTGCTATAATATTCATGTCTCCTCATTCTATCCTCACCTCTAATAATTCTGTTGAAATTACATCTTTTTAATACCTGTAGATTGACCCAGCTTTTAATCATAAATCTCTTGGAATAGTGGTGATAATCAGAAGGGAGAAGAGTACGCAGGCAGAAAAGCAATACATTGTAAACCATAAAACCTCAGAAACTTGCAACAGAATTTGGCATGTATGTGTACACTTTTCTAAGAGATGAGAACTTTAATAGATTCTCAAAGTGATACAATTTTCATCAAGTATTGCCTACTAGACACGAGGTAAATATGCAATGAATTAACTCTGAAGTTTAAACTTTCAGGAGCTGTTTTAAAAGATTAGCTCTACCTTCTTTATCCAGTTCTGCATCTTTAACCTCCACATCAGGGCCAGGTTCTAACTTCTCATTATTACAATATTCCAGTACTTCTAGTTTCTCAGAATCATCTCCAGGATTTTCATTTGCAGTTTCTTGGTTTTCTTTTGAGTGGTCTTCCAGGAGAATCTTTTGTTCAGAACTACATTTATCCCCGCTATCACAGAGGGGAACATCTTCAACTTTGCCATTCTGGCACTCAAGAACCGGTATGCCTTCAAAACTGTCAGTGGAGGCCTCACCATTTAGACAGCTGCCTTTAAGAAAAGGCTCTTTCTTTGCTGTCTGTTCTGGATTGAGAGAGCTACTGGTGTGGACAAGTAGAGACTCATTTGAACTTTCCTCTTCAGTAGATGCGAAGTTTTCTTTCACACTTGTTCCACTGTTCAGCCTCTGGCCCTGGTCCATGTCCATGACATCACACGATGATTCGTCATTGGTCACAGATAAGTCTCCGGTCTCTTCTCCATTTTCCTCATGGCAGTCGGTACTTACCTCAAACTCTCCATTCTCCAGCAACTTCCTCTCCTCTGTATGGTTCTCATAATCTATAAATTTGGTGTCCTCTTCATCTTTTTTTAAATTATTGACTTTCCTTTTCTTAATAATTCCTTTACCCCACTGTGATCGTCGCCTTGATTTTCTCCGAACCCGAACTATTTTACAGGGAAGGAAAAAAAGATATGTAAAATTTGCAGGCAACATTTATTTTACATATGTTTATCAAAGAGGACCCAAAAGAAAGTAAATCCATACTAGTCTCTTAGCTTAAATAATCGTTCATACAGGTAGAATGAACTCTGCATAAAGAAAAAAAAATTTTTTTAAACTTTATTTCCTATATAAGCTTACTTGGTAATAATCTTTTCTATGGTCCTGGATTCTATTTTATAGATATTTCTAATTTTCAACACCCAGGGAACAATCACACAGTAGATATACTTAAGGAATAACCACATGACCAGGCTGCCCAGAAAGTCTGGGGCCATAACCCCACATATCCTCCAGGAAAGTAGATACTTTGCTGGCATGGTCACCTAAGAAATAACCCCGAAACAATAAAAAAAAAATAAAAATAAAATAAAAATAGGTTAATATCGCATGACAGAATGACAAGCATCCCAACAGAGAATCTCTGTTGCCTCTCCTTCCAGAATAAGCAATCACCCACAGTAACTATAACAGAAGCCCTAAAAAGATAATATGAACAATCTGGCTAGAAAACTGTTAATTTTCATTAGCACAAATGGTTCTCCTGGGGCAGCGGTGGCAAACCTATAGCATGCATGCATACTGCACCAGGGGGTCTGTATCACTGGAAGCTTTAAAAGGTTCACCATCCAGGCATAGAGTATTAATTTCTTGCACCATTATCTGAGAGCATGTAGAAAAACTAAATCCTCTGTTATCAAAGCAATAAAATAGTGACATCATATAAAAATAAATATTTGGCTAGTTATATGAAAAGAAAAACCTAGAAAAATTGTAAGGAATATACTATTAATGATAGAAATTATCATGAGCTCTATGAGGAAACAACTAAGGCTTCCAGGTGACAATAAACCCAAGAACTGTTAATTTCCTTTACGTGTATCAAAGGTAATTGATGAGCTCAGTCTTCCCCACAGGGACACTTGCATAGTTTAATAGGAACTTATACTCTGTCAACAGTGTATATGATGTATCCACACATTGCTTTCATTTTTTTTTTCACTTTTAACTCTCACCAAATTTCTAGAGATACTACAGTATTCATAAAGAATGAATATTTAGTTAAAATCATTATTCTTTCTCATCTAGGAGTGCATCTACTAAAGATTTCTGAAATCATCTCCAAAATTCAGGTTAGTCATTTAGCTCAAAGTTTAATTTTCCTGGGCTGGGGAGATAGTTCAGAGGTCTAAGCACCTGCCCAGCAAGCGCAAGGACCCGGGTTCAATCCCTGGTACCACATACTGTACCAGCCTCAGAACCCCAGGTGCGCCATGCCAGCCACTGCATCTGGGTATGGTGGTGTATGCCTGTATGCCAGCAGTGGAGAAACTCACACTGGTGCATTACTATGAATCCAAGCTGCACAGTGAGACCCTGTGCCAAGTAATTAATAAATAAATACTAATTTTTAAAAAATTTTAAAGCTAATTTTTCCTTCAAAACTATAATATTATTAAAAATATTGTTTATATTCTTCCAATTTCTACTTTTATAATTTACAATTATGGGCCAGTTAACATTAAGAAAATTCCTGTATTAGTCTACTATTAAACACTGGTAGTCTCAGATGATGAGCACCTGTAACTATACCTATCATGAGAAAATAATCTAGTCCACATTAAAGATTCAAGAAAGGCATACATCTTATTCTCACTCTAGAAGGTACAGCCGTTAGGTTTTTAGTACCTCTTTAGCCATTCCTGATACTATACCCTCTCTTCGTTTCTAACTGTATAACTAAAAGTACAAGGGATTCCTCTATCCTAAGCCATGGAATTACAGAGCAAGAGGCCAAACTTAGTTCAACACAGTCTGCTTAATTTCATGACATGCAGCACACTAAGCAAAGGCCAGAAGCCCTACTGTAGCAGTTTCCATCTAATGCTTCCATATTAGCCAGTAATACAGAAAATGTTCTCATTCCATTGGAGACCAAGAGGTATTTCCTCCTCATATCAATTCTAATGGTTGGCAAAATTCTGGCAAAATAAGAGCATTTGATCACTTAATCTACACCAGAATAAAAATAAATTTTTAAAATTTTATTCTATACTATCTTCACAGCACCTGGCTTATTGTAGAAGTAAATATATATTTGGGGACCTAATCCTTAATATACTACTCCTCTACCAAGGGTACTCTGAGTAAAAAAACTTATTTAGGGACACAATTTTTAGAGCCAGTTTTTATAGCATCACCAAGCGTGTTCCAAAAAACTAAGACCTTAGAAAAGCAATGGTCCCTTAAGAACATTTAGATTTATGATTTGAGTTACTTAACAAATTATGTATCACACATGCCATCTACTGGTAAAAACAAAACACCATCTATAGATTAAAAATATTCTCAATCAAGATTTGAGATACAACTAAGTTAAATAGCTTTAATCAATTCAGGGCAGGTAAATATACCACTAAGCCCTTTCTCAAATTTCTCTCCTCTATGAAACTAAGGGGACAAGTTTTTAAAAAGTGAGTATGATTTATTCATTCGAATCCAATGCCATTTGTGAAAGAACATATTAAAACTAGCTTTGTTGACAGAGCAATATTATTGTCTTTATACCAGAACAGCATGCATTTTCCAAAGCAGGATACTTTCAAACAGAAAATAACATTAGGAAGATGCTGTGTTTACTACTACTTGTCTTTTGGAAACATTTTAAACGAACATGAATGTAAAATCTAGTACACTAAGGCAAGGAGAGTGGCATGTGCCTGTAATTCCAGCACTTGAGGGGCTGAGGAAAGAGGACTGCCACAAGTTTGAGGCCAGTCTGGGCTCCACAGTGAATTCAAGGTCAACCTGAACTACATAGCAAGACCCTGTCTCGAAAGAAAGAGAGAAAGAGAAAGAGAAAGAGAAAGAGAAAGAGAAAGAGAAAGAGAAAGAGAAAGAGAGAGAGAGAGAGAGAGAGAGAGAGAGAGAGAGAGAGAGAGAGAGAGAGAACGAACAAGCATAAGGGGATCTAGAACACTGAACTTTTCCTCGAAATAAATCACATAAAACTAGACAAAGATGGTTGTGTATATTTCTCAAACTGAGTACAAAATATTCTTGCGGGTGATTCAACTTCCTACTGCCAAATCAGCCACTTCCATATGAAGACAGAAAGTCTATTGCCTCTATTTCTCCACCAAAGTCTAACACTGAAAAATATTCAAACCTGGCCTGATTATAACCACAAATAGTAAATAGTCTTAGAAAATAGCAATACAGAAACACACTTCTGATTCAGCATCTTACTCGACAAGTTCTTTGGCTCTGAAAAGGCAGAAGGGTAAAAAGAGCTGTGGAAAAACAGCACTACCTGGGTTTTGTGTACCCAGTTCCTAAAAAATCTTTATCATTCTCAGTTGTTCCCACTACTAGATTACATGATCTCAAATACGCACATGCACATTTATTTGCAGAGTTGTGCCAGACATCCATCGGATTTCTTTGTTTGTGCCGAAATGCCTCTTCAACTCTAGTTTCTGTCTTTCGAGCTCCAGTACCATGAGGATTTATTTGTTCTGTTGTTACCGATAAGCCTGCAAGTAGAAGATAAGCAATACCTATTTAAATATTCCCAGCTACATAAACCAACAAGGTTTTTTGCAAAAAAGGTCTGAGATACAAAACTGAATTTTAAAGTCATTAATTATATTGGGACAGTCTGTAATTCTAATGTTTAAGATGGAAAAGAAACTAGATGTGAAATCATAAAAACATATTTTTAACACCCACCATGCCATGCTTACACTTAAGTCTCTGAACAAGCCTAATTTATACTCGTTTTAATTCACAAAGACAATTTTTCACATTATGACTATGGGAAATAGATTATATATTGTCTAAAAGTCATGATCTTAGCCATCTTTGAATATGCGATATGTGTTTACTGGGTCACTAAAACTTCATTCCCACGAACTGGTCCAATGTGATAGTTGCTTCCTGTCACACCACAATGCTCCAAGTTTGGTTTTTTTGTATTATCTTCCTAAATGCAATTATTCTGTCTCAATCGTCTTCACTTGAATTTTTTCTTCCATGTGGTCCCTAAATATTGGTGTTTTCTTAGGGTTCTGTGTTTTTCTACTTTACACTTTCCTTTATAAAGTATCACGACATGTTCAGCTTCCACTGTTTTTAAAAGAAAAATCTCGTATTTGTGTCTTTAGTTCAAAGATCTCTTGCCTTCTAGCCCATATACTACTCAAATGCCTACCTGGTACCTCCAATCGAGTATCTTAAAGACAGGTTAAAGATAACTAGGTTTCCATGCCCACAAAAAAGCACAAGCTGTTAATCCATATGCAATACATAATATAGAAATCATCTGTTTGAAGCATGTGAATAATTTTTAGTAAATGTTTATAGCTGTGCCAATTACCACAGCAATCTAATTACAGATAACTGTCCCCAGAAATACTATCTTTGTGTCTCTACACATGTGCCATTTCTAGGAATTTCATATAAAAAAGAATCACAATATGTAGTCTTTCATGACTGGCTTTTTTCTCTTAGATGATGTTTTTGAAGTTCATCCACCAATACTTTATTCCTTTCTATTGCTGAGTAGTATGCCATGGTATGGATATACTGTTTTGCCTGTTTATTCATCAGCTGATAGACCTTCGTGTTGTTTCCAGTTTGGGCATTACTATGGATAATTTCTATGAACACTCATGTACAAGTGGGTATATATTCCCATTTCTTTGGGTAGGTCCCTAGGAATAGAATCAAAGGATCATAAGGTAAATCCATGTTTAATTTTTCAGAAAGTACAGAACTGTTTTTCCAAACTGGTTGTAACAACTTTTTAAATAATTTCTCATTTCCCTGTCATAACACACTGACGATATGTTATTTCTTGCTGCCAAAGCAATTTTTAAATTTAATTAGTTAATTAAAGGTGGCCTATACTTCACCATGTGGCTCAGGCTGGCCTCAAACTTGCAGCAATCTTCCTGCCTCGGCCTCCTGAGTGCTAGAACTTTAGGTATATGCCACCACATCCAGCTTGCTAAAGTAATTTGACCAGTTCATTCCACTACTTAAAACTCCTTCATGATGTCTGCTACTTTGACAGTCATCCTCAAACTTTAAAGTACATAAAAACTACGTAGTTTCTTAAAATGTACATTTCTGGGCCTGCCAAATAGCTCAGCACATTAAAGCACCTGCAAGCAGACGCAGGGGTCGGGGGTTTAATTGACCCCTCCCTCGGGGGCACTGAGAAGGCAACTGAGACTGGACTTGGTGGTGCACGCCTATAATCCGACCTCTTGGGAGGCTGTAAACAGGTGGATCAGTACAAATCCAATCTAGTAGTGAGAACCTGAACACCCTGTAGACCCTTCCCTAAAATACAAAATTAAATAAATAAAATAAAATGTGCATTTCTTGATCTATTATTCTTAAAGAATACAATTTTCTAGGTCTAAAACAATGCACATAACAAACACACATTTTGAAAAACGCTGACTTCTAAGATAGTCCAAGCTCCCTAGCATGGCCTAATTGACTCAAATAATTAATGAAAACCTGCCGTATATAAGGCTATAAGTCAGACATTCACACTGCTCATATCCTCAAGAGAGAGGAGGGACAGAAAAGAGCAATGCCAAGTGCTACCACAGCCTATACTGGTCATGGAAAGGATCTTGAAAGAGGCAGAAGTTTCTTCATAACTACAATGCCCTGGACCAAACTCACCTTTTAAGTCCTACTTCCTACCACTATATATATTTCATAATATCAAACAGTTTAATGCTCTTCCAAATACACCAAGCTCCTTCACACCTGCATACCCCTGCGCAGTATTGTAGCTTGCAACACCTCCTGCCCCTGCCACCTGTGCCCAGACCACTACAGAGAGTGCTCTTATATTCACTCTTCAACACTATTCACACTGCTGGGTTCTCATCTAAGACGCCACTCTTATGTTTCGTGAACATGCTTCAAACTACAATAGGTTTGTGTTATGCTTCTTTCTTACTAAGATTTGAGTTCCTCAAGGGTATGGTTATAGACCAAATAAACCACATTTGCTAATTCTGTGTTTCTGATAATAAAATTACATATAAGCTTCAACAGAGAGGAAAGAAAAAAACAACAGTCCTAAAAGCTTTTTTCAAGTACCAGCAAAGGATTTAAATTCAACTCTTGAGAGCCAGGCACTGGTACACTGTAATCCCAGCACTCAGGAGGCTGAGGCAGGAGGATCGTTTTTGAGTTCAAGATCAGCTTGGCTACAAAGTGAGCTCATGGCCAGCCTGAACTGCAGAGTAAGACTGTCTCAAAAGATAAATAAATAATTCTGAAATGAAGGCATATCTAATACCTAATACCATTAATACAAATTAATGACCAAAAAGATGCAAAAGTGCTTAAAGATGCACTTTTCCAAAAGAAATTTCACCGAAAAACACTTTATTCTTATAATATATACTATTACACCAAAACTTTCACAGAAGGCCAAGTTTTAAAATAATCTTGACCTGGGTTTGGCCAAATAGCTCAGTGGATTAAAGCACCTGCAAGCAGGCACAGGGGCCAGGGTTCGATCCCTGGGCCTACCACACCGGCCCTGCTCCCAGGAGCACTGAGATGGCAACTGAGACTGGACGAGGTGGCGTGCACCTGTGATCCCAGCTCCTGGGAGGCTGTAAACAGGAGGATCACGGTGAGTCCAATCTAGTAGTGAGATCCTGAACACTCTGTAGACCCTTCCCTAAAATACAAAAAATAAATAAATAAAATAATCTTAACCTGGTAGCATCTGCTAGCTACTCAGAATGCTAAGCCTAAGGACCATACCTTTGAGGCCAGCATGGTCACACAGCAAGACTGAAAACAAACAAACAAACATGGCCAGGAATGAAGCTCAAAACACAGTGCCTGCCTGGCGAGCCTGAGGCCTTGAGTTTGATTCCTGGTTCCAAAACAAACATAAAAGAAAACAAAACCTTGAGAATTTGTATGATACATATTTTTGCATCAAAAAGTAAGTAGTAAGTACAATGTTATTGTTTGGTAAGTGGGAGCAGTTTCGGTGTGGCACTGCAAGGTAAATATAATTAACAGCAGTGCATCAATACACATTCAAATTTAAGAGAAAAACTTGAATACATTCATCACAAAAAAATGATAAAAGTTTCACTAGATGATAGATATGCTAAATACACTGAGCTAATCAATACTGAATGTAGACGTGAACTGAAATATTGCAAGGTAAATCATAGATATGTACAAATATTATGTCAGTCAAAAAATTACAATTTGAAAAATTAAAAGCCATACCTCAAAACTCATTTTCCCAAAAGAATTATCATTCAATGACAGTGTAAATGAATAGGCAAGGATTTGGTAACAAGTTTATATTTTTAACTTACCTCTTTTTATTCTTGCTTCCTTAATTTCTTCACAAAGTTTATTAAATTCTGGATCCAATTCTGCTGCAATGATGGCATGTGCAGTATCCTTCAGGGTACATGCCCTATGCCTAATTATTTTATCTGTTAAAAAAAATCAGTGTAAATTTATTATAGATACAAATAAACAACACCTTAAAAACAAATAACAAAACATTTACATGGTATTCTTTTTTTTTGTTTTTTTTGGTGGTACCGGGGATTGAACTCAGGATCTTGTGCTTGCCAGGCAAACACTTATTCTATTGAGCAATCTCCCCGGCCATTACATGGTATTCTAACAAAGCATTTTATTTATTTTTTTGTATTTTAGGGAAGGGTCTACAAGGTGTTCAGGGTCTCACTACTAGATCTGACTCATAGTGATCCGCCTGTTTACAACCTCCCAAGTGCTGGGATTCCAGGTGAGCACCACCATGCCCAGTCTTAACAAAGCATTTTATAAGAAACAGAACTTAATTTTAGTGATGAGAAAAAATAAGCTACTTAATCAAGTTAATAATTCTCTGAAAACTGAACTTTCAAAACTTCAAAGTACTAAGCCTATAAAACAACCATTACCATATATATGATTTCATGTTAAATTTCTGAAAATAAAAATGATTTTCAATAAAAATTTTAAAAACTTTAGAGAATATTCACTGTATTCTCAGTTCTGTAGGTACCACAGACTGATATTGAGAATTCTGAAAATCCTTTTTTTTTTTTTTTTTTTTTTTTGAGGAACTAAGGATTGAACTCAGGCCCTTGCACTTGCCAGGGAAGAGATTATTCCACTGAGCCATCTCCCCTTTCTGAGAATTCTGAAAATCTTGTTCTCTTTTAAGTTGAAACTAGTCAAAATCGTGGTAAAGAACACAATATACCCTGAGTAAGGGAGGTCTATTAAAAATGTGACAGGAACAGAAAAATACAAAATGACTTTGTAAGATGAAGCGTGCAAATGCAGGAGAGAAGCAAAACACAATGTGTTTGGTAAACCAAAACTAAAAGTGGTACTGAGAAAAGAGCCTCTGCTTCAGGAGAGCTGAAGGCCTGATCATGAGCAGTGTCAATATCAACAGTGCCCTCTAGAGCTTTGTGAGTCAGTGCAAGGACATAGGGAATTTATTTTAAAACAGTTTAAGGAAACAAGAATTGGGGGGGCAGGGGGAGAGATGGGAGGGGTAGGTCAAAACTTCCCTCTGAAGTAAAGGCATTAATAGACAAAGATAGATATACTTTGCAACTTTTTTCATAAGAAGCTGCAATTGTTCATTGTGAAATGCTATGAAAAAAACATGCTGCCAGGCTCAAAGAGGAAAGAGGATCACTAGTCTGAAGCCAGCCGGGGCCACTTAGCAGGATTGTCTCAAAATTTAAAATTAAATTATGAGGCTGTAGCTCAGTGATAGAGGCCTGCCATGTATGCACAAGACCGTGGCTCAATCCTCAGTACCACACTAAAAAAAAGGCTCAAAGGACACATTTTGTATATTTCCTTCAGATATACTTTCTTTGTATATTCATTCAACAAATACTGTTCATTATCTACACCAGGAAAAACAAGGTGGTGCCTACATAGTAGCAGGGATAAACGGAAAAAAAAAAAAAAAAAAGTGTTTTTCAGATTAGATAGAAAAGGAACACTAACAGTTTTTTACACATACATATAAATATTCCCATTTCAAAAACCCAGTATTACAGTGGCTGCCATTTTGACTGAACAAGTTAGAACATGCCTCTTGAAGAAGAGGCCCTGAAGTTGGCATGTCATACACTGGAGTAACCACTTAAAAGAGTAGGAGAAACCAGAGCAGGTTCAGATAACTCCACTGAAAAAATCCTGGAGAAAAGAATTCAGAGTGTTAATGAAGCTGGCTGAAAGCATGTTAAGAGGAAACAAAGACATGATTTTGATAGGATTTAAGATTATCTTCTACAGGCAATGAAAAGTCATCAAAATATGTGAGCAAGGAAACATCACACAAATTTACATCTTTGAAAGTTCACTCTGATAAGAAGTAAAGCCATGCTGTTATGTTGAGCTGTAGGGGACTCAAATCAACAATTTCTGACACTCCCAGTCAAGAGGAAGACCCAATACTATTATGGACTACTGGACTGTTTTAGAATATTTTGCTGAGTTAACACACCTATAATATTCAAATGATGGAACTAAACAAAAAAGGGGATAAAGATGAATGTCCATTTTGTACGGACATTCAAAATGTATATTCAAAATGGTTAGGATAGATACATAGTTACATTCTCTTAATGAATAGAGGGATTTGTCATAATAGTGTTTATAAATAGGATATCATGTCTGCATCTTGTACAGCAAATAACCACTAGGAAGAGAGTATGCAATGTGTTAATTATTGAAACTGTCCTACCAATTTGATTTGAAACTGTCTCATTGCTATTTGTCTCTCAATAAAATTATGGAAAAAAAAAAAAAGAAAGGGGAAAGCATCAAGAATGATACTCCAATTATAGTTTGAAGAAAAGGTAGTCAAATCTGTACCGTGTGGCTTGAAAGTCTGACATTGTAACTGCTCAGGCATCATTAGGTGGGCAGAGACAGAGAAGGTGGCTTTGGAAGAGAACATTTATTTGGGTGGAGAGTTGCCTGGTAAACTCTCTGGATCTCCCACCTACCAGGGAGTTGAATTTCCCTATAGATCGAGAAGCAATGACGTAGGTACTCAAGACCCAAGATAACAACTAGCAGGCAACATGGGTACCCAAGCAGAGGAGCCCCACAAAAGCCAGGAACAAGGAACCAGATTCCAGCCTCTTACCCAGCTCTCCTCCCTCCTTTTCCTCTCACGAATGTTTCTTTTGTAATTGTCTATAAAAGATTATCTGCATTTTATTTTTTAAAAAAAAAGTTCACTCTATTATCTGAAGACCAGACTGAGTGATCCTCCTGCCTCAGTCTCCCAAAGTGCTGGGATTACAGACATGTGTTACTACACACATGCGTGGACAGACAGAGCTGTGTCTTAATTATCTATAAATCTCTAGCTCCAAGCATAATTTACATAGAGACAATACTCTGTACATGATGAGTCAGTGCATTAAGAGGAGTCATTCCCCACTACTCCAGAGGTATTCTGTTCTCCACACGTGTTTGCATACTGCTGGACAATACTTCTCTAAGCCTACAATGCATGTCTTTCCCAATATGCTCACCTCTAGGTAATAACTTCTTTTTTTTTTTTTTTTTTTTTTTTTTGCAGAACCGGGGATTGAACTCAGGCCCTTGCACTTGCCAGGGAAGGGCTTATTCTAGTGAACCATCTCCCCAGCCCAATAATTTCTCTATGTTCCATTCAAACATATTTCTAATTTAGAACTTACAATGTTGAATTATAATCACCTACTGCCATCTCAAGACATTATTCATTACTGTCATGTATACTATTTCCTTAATCTTCTTGATACTATAATCACTAGTATTTAGACAAGTGTATTTGTCCTATCTAAAAACTCATGAATTTCTTTTTTTCTTTTTATTTATTTATTTGTGTGTGTGTGTGTGTGTGTGTGGCCAGCTCAGCCCACCAGGGGGCAGGGCTGGCTGGCATGTGGTGCTGGGGGGTTGAACCACAGTCCCTGTGCTCTGCTAAGCTTGTTCTAAGTAGGTGCTTTAGACCACTGAGCCATCTCACCAGCCCCTGAATTTCTAGATAGTAAGGACAGTGGTATATGTAACTGTTAGGGGCTGAAAATTGTACCTTCAAAGTTCTTCACTTGAAGCACTAACACTCAGGACCTCATAATATAACTTTTTAAAACAGGTAATTAAGTTAACATGAAGGTGGGTTTTAATCCAGTCTGACTGACTAGTGTCCTTTTAAGAAGAAATATGGACACATCAATGATGTTCAAGCACAGAGAAAAAGGCTTCAGGGAGGAGACCACCTCAAGCCAAGAAAAGAGGTTTCAGGAGACACCAAATCTGTTGACATGAAGTTCAGCTTCATCCTGAACCAATGACCTCCAAAGCTCAAGTTTCTGTTGTTCAAGAATACAGTCTATCATATTTTGTTATGGCAGCCCTATCAGACTAATAAGATTACAAGCAGATTAATGTGGATCACAAAGCAATTATCTATTATGCATTATTGATCTATCATATTGATATGTACCATAACTATCTCAAAGAACAAGAACTGCCACTCTATCTTTGTGTTCTAAGTATCCAACTCAGTAATTAGCATGTGATAATCCCAAACTCTGAAAGAAACATGAATGACTTTGGTTCAAGTCTAGATTTTATGAAATACAACTTTGGTAAGTACATTAGGAAATATACTAAAAGAAGACTCTAAAGGACTTCTTACTAAAGCTCAAGTGAATCTAGGAGCTTTGTTCCCACATAACTGGTACAAAATACTAGAAATTCTGAAAAAACTTTAAAGATTAGGGAGAAATTTCAACAAAATTAGTCAAATGAAGGTCTGTGTAAGAATAAGACTGGAGCTGGGTATGGTGGCTCATGTCTATAACCCCAGCACTCCCAAGGCCAACCTGGGCTACACAACAAGTTGAAGGCAGCCTGAACTACATAGTGAGATGCTATGTCAGAGAGAGAGAGAGAGAGAGAG